AAAGACCAAACTCAAACTGTTTAAAACGTAAACAAAAATAAAAAATGGGTTGTTTTGAGTTTCTTATAGAGTTGGCGTTTTCAAAAGATGGGTTTCCTCATGTAGTGACAATTGACAAGTGAGACAAACAAAGGGGGAAATTATTGTTATTGCAATTATACACAACATCATTATACGTTTATTATTTTAATTTCGGGATTAGTTTATTGGCAAAACAGAAATTTGACTAACATCTTGGCAAAAACCAACCTCTCATGGGGTTGTAGAGACGACCATTACTTGGTTTATAAATTATCACAGAAGACAGCAAATTAAGCAGCTCTTCAAAGTCTTCAATAAGCACCCCAAAATATCCAAATTGTTGCCTTTTCCTGATCTAGAGGGTTCGGCTTCGAATACAGAGAAAAATTAATAGAGTTACAATAATTGATTGGTTACATTCTAATCGGATAGTAAATTTGTGCTATTTTTTGTATAACCTATCAATATAGTAGTAGCGTTACAAGAAACAATACTACTATTTTTTTTTATGTTATGGAACTGAGATCAACTGTTAGTGTCGTTTTGCATTTTTCATTATTTCGCTAAATGTATCTGTGATTTATAATAATCCACCAAAATTTTATTATACCTCGTTGACACAAAACATTTATCTGAAAACTCTTATATATCTATCGAAGATTCCTAATTGAATTTGCCAATTGGCAAAAAGAAATGACAGATTTACAATGAATCAAAAGTGTTATATAATATGCGACTTGAATATGCTTTTTGCTCAAACAAAAATATGTGACACAAGAGGAAACAGTTGAACCGAGCGCATCATAAAGTTGGTCGCAACGAATATACCAAACTCGCATATTCAATGTGACCGCATAAGCTCGTTTAAAGCCCATTAATAAACTTATGGGCCTTTAGCATTTGCTGTGTGCTATATTTATGACCAAAAGTATTGTAATATACATTCGATCAAAAAAAAAAAAAATCAGAATTGAGTGATTTGTTATAAAATTTGATGATCCCCCAGGCCCAAACCCTTCACGTGAGTTCTACCCTG